ACTGCTTCTGTGGGAGCAGAATCATTCCTCAAGAGAACTGTAGAGCCCCCTTTCTGCAGTATGATGACAAGACTTTGTATGTAATAGGGTTGTGTGAGTTACCACTTATGAGTTTGATTCATGTTCGTCCTCATTGATGGAAAACTAGAAAGAGTTGTTGGGGATTGATGTGTTGGGGATTGATGCTGGAAGTGAGAAGGGCAAGATACCACCTGCTCTAAAGAGTGGCTTGCTACAACAGTGGTTCTGAGTTTTTGGACCAGCAAGCCATTGTCGATTCAAAATTCCTCATGCCTGCCATGCATCCTTATCATCAAACCTTTAAACACTAAAAAGGTACACTGTCCGATATGATCTTTGGGCCACCTGGGGACTGCTCACCATGACCTCAGTTTGGGAACCACTGGTTAGCCCCTTGCGCAGTAAATTATTGTAGTATGATGGTTGTCCTTAACTGCTGCTCTTTATCAGTTGAATTATTTGGGGGTGAGATTATTGAGAAATCTATGTCAAAATAACTCCAGTTACAGTGACCTGAAGAATCTACCTGTCTTTGGCCAGTTTGGCTTTTGCCCAGATAAATATCCGGTGCTTGTGCTGGGTTTTTTTTGTTTTTTTTTTAATAAAGATCCCATTAGCTGTCTTCAGTATTCATCCACAAGGCCTGATGAGGACTCACAAGGCCACTCTTCTGTGCTTTATTCCTTTTGTGGGGGAAACGCACAGGGATGCTTCTGTCTATTGCAGAATTTGAGGTACATACTCTTGCTAATCATTTTTAAACAGGTGATTGTTATGGAGAGAGTATGGTTTGCAGTGACTTTGATATAATTACATCTCTATAATTTATAGTTCTCTGCTGCAAAAGACCAATACTGCTTTGAAACAACCTGCCATTTGTATGTTTATATTTGGAGTGTAGAAGCAGGGTTAACTTTGCATGATTCTTAAGTGTCTTTGCTAGGTGTGGGGAAATAGGAAAAGGAAATGTTGCAAGAATCCTGGCCCCCACTAGCTGAAATAATATGCTTTCTCAGTTCATAATATAAGAGATTGTCTTAGATCATTGGTTGTTACTGGATGCTGAAGTAGCGGACTGTCATATACACTTGTTATCTGTACTTGTAAAATTATTTAGGCCATTGTCAGTTCTGAGTTAAAGGGGCTTAATGCGTTCTGCATAAGGCTGTTCTTTAAAACCAATGCAGAAGTCTGCAGCTAACTGGTTAAGGAAGTCCTTGCAGAGAGAATGCTTCTTTCCATTTTCGCTGCGTGGCAGGTTATTGTAGGAGAAGTGTCTTTGCTCTGGTGGGATAAAATGAGGGCTGGTTGAGAGACAGGATGCTTGAGGTCAAATATATAGTTTACGGAACAAATATTCTTCTGAAATGCAGCGAATTCCACTCAAGTTTGGACCTGATGTGCTTTATTTAGTGTATGATCTTTGCATTAATGTTATACTGTGTCCAGCTTGAATAATCACATTTAGTGAATTTTGAACCAGCAACAGTCTATCGCCAGATTCTGCCTTCGTGTGCTCACTTGGCTAAAGAGCATTCTTGACAGGTTCAGCCAGAGGCAGAATTTAGGTCCAAAATGGTTCTGAGGTACTGTGACTCTGTCTAAAACTTATTGACACATGCAACTTCTTTTAAGTATCATAGTTTCATAGTTTCATAGATTTAGGGTCGGAAGGGACCTAGTAGATCTTCTAGCCCGACCCCCCGCCAGGGCGGGAGAACAACAAAACCCCAAAACAAGAAACGGGACTCAAATGAGTCCAGCCAGGTAGGCATCCAGCCTCTTCTTAAAGACCCCCAGGGTAGGGACCAGCACCACTTCCCTTGGAAGTTGGTTCCAGCTCCTAGCCGCCCTAACTGTGGCTGTGCTCAGGTCAGCTCTAACCTACACAGCATGGTGTTTAAAAATATTGATAGTTCATTCATACATAGTTCATTCATGCTAACTCTGGTGGAATAGAACAAGGTTTGTATCCCAGGTAGTAGATGGGCTTTCTTGTCAGTACATGAAGGTACCAGTTAAATGGCTGTCATAGTGCCAACCACTGTGATCTATAGCATGACAATTACCTCTTGGTGCTGCTTTTCTCAGAGAAGTTTGTGATGATGTCCAAGAACTGCCTTCTCGGGGCCTTTTTGCAGCCTGCAAACCAGTTTACACTGGAAAAGTCTCAATAAATGGGCTAAGGGCAGTACACGGCCCCAACAGGAAAACAGCAAGATGGAGGAGGTTATTGTCATGGGAGAATGGTGAAACAAGGTTTTTATTTTTCGTACACTGATGGGAAAGAGAAAGGATCAGGCTAGTTTTTACTTATTGTTGACCTATCTATGCCTTACAAAGCTGAAGTATACAGATACTGAAATAGATAGGTCAAGCACCTGAGAGGAATATAATCTTTTCCAGTCTCAGGAAAGAGACAAGAGGAAAAGTATATTATAGGGTTTGAAGAGGGATTGAAAAGAGGCAAAGCTAAAGTTGGTCATGGCAGAAAGACATCTGTCACCATGAGGGAGAGGAGGATTGTGCATATGTCAGGCTCCATGAATGCACTATTTGCAGGCTTCTGTTGTGCTGCACAGCAGGTGATCATTATATAAATGATGGCTAGCAAAAACTGAAGTGATCTCAGCTGATGGGAGTGAGTCAGCAGCTGCTGAGTCGCACCCAGCACTTGATGAGTGTACAGTGATGGCTTTATTAGTGTGCTTTAAATGAAGATTACTGGAACCCTCCTTGCTTCTAGGAATGATTGATGGTGGTGCTTTTCAGCTTTGAAGTGTGTGGTTTTGGATTCTAGTCTGTGGAAGAACCTAGTGTTGTGATACTAACAAAGACAATAGGGGCAGATTATATTGGGGCAGATTCCTTCCTCTGCTCTACTTCTCCTTGTCTCGTGGTTTTGGTTTGTTGGGGAGGTGGAGGTGAGAGAATTCATGGAAGTGAATATTGTGATTGGCAGGATTTTACCTTATCTGTAACCTTAACTGGGAAACTTCACCTTAAAGTTGCCTGGATGTAAGGAACAAATGCAGCACCCTCTCCAGTTGGGGAGGGTGTCTGTGTAGGACGGTGATTCTCAGTCAGGATGCCAGCATACCCTGGGGTGCCTTGAGATCCTTTCAAAGGTATTACAGAGTGCCACACAATGTTAGCACTGTTAGGTGTGTAAACTTGATTCACAAACTCATAAATTTCAAATAGGAACCCATTTTGTCAAAAACATTCTGACCTATTGCAGTTTTTCTGAATTCTCTGGAAATGGAAGAATGGATCTGCAGTTTTTTCTGTAGTCAAAAAAACAAGTGAAAACTAAGCTGGCATTTCCAAGGGGTGCCTTAAGTTAAAAAATGTTGAGAACTACTGGTGTAGCTGTTTGCCAACTAAATTGTGTTTGTGGGGGAGGGGGGTGAAGGGAAGTATCATGTGTAGAAAAGAGACACTTGAAGCAGGGGACATGATAAGGGTTTATAAAATACTAAACGGTCAAGAGAAAGTAGATAAAGATTTATTATTTACTGTCTCTCACCTTATAAGAACTAGGGGTCACAAAATGAAACTAGTAGGCAGTAAGTTTAAAACTAAGAGGAGGAACTTCACACAGCGTGTAATTCAAGTGTAGAACTCATTGCCACAAAAGTTGTGGAAGCTGACCATTTAGCTAGATTCAAAAAGGGACTGGGCAAATTCTTGGAGGAAGGGTGCATCAGTAGCTCTTGAGTGCGGGAGTTAGGGATGCAGCCTCTGAATTTGAACTTCCTAGTCCTTAAATGCTATAGGCTGCAAGGAAGAGAGGAACAGTTGAAAAAACCCTAGTAGTACTCAGTTCCCTCTCCTTTTTAGCATCCACTCTCCGCCCCAGTATGACACAGGCCTATTTGCCGCTTTAGGGATTTGTGGGCAAAAAGCCCACCCCTTGAAACTATAAGACCCCCTCAGAAAGGGAGGGTGCTGGGAAAGTGGCAACTAATTGTTTGGAACAAACAACAGGGATGGGAGTGAAGGTCAGAGGTTTAAAACTAGTGTGCTAAGGGGGGACACCAAACAGAACACACTGGACACCACCCACTGGCCCTCAAATGGGTCCAAGGAGCCAATGGGTGCTGCCTAGTGATACTCTGCCCAGAGATGGGATCTCAGTAGAGACAGGAAAGCAGCCCTGCAGTCCTTGCTGTGCAATACAGGCCTGTTTGCTCCCTTGAGGGATTGTGGGCCAGGGCCCATCAGGTGAACTGTTAGCTTTCCTTAAACAGGAAGATTACTGAAAAGGCAAGAACTGATTACTTGGGGCAAATGATAAAAAGAAAAAACAGGGACAGGAGTGATGGCCACTAACTAGTGTGCCAAGGGGAGATGCTGAACAGAGCAAACTGGACAGCGCCCACTAACTCTCAAATGAGTCCGAGGAGCCAGTGGACACTGCCTAGCGATACTCTGCGTGGAGATGGGATCGCACCAGGGACAGGAAAGTGGCCCCACGTTCCTTGCTGTGTGATGCAGGATACTGGACAAGCTGGACCTTTGATCTGGCTCAGTAAATGACAGTTCTTATAATATGTTCTTTAAAATGCAAAGGATTACACAAAGCTTAAAATTAGTAGGAATTAGAGAGTGCTTGATTCAGCATTCCAAAAGCAGTTGTCGTGCTCGATGCTTCCCGGGGATCTTCTGCACCAGGAAGCTAGAAGGGATGTGAAATATTATTGCTATCTTAAAGAAAGGGAGATTGAAACAAATAGAGGAAGAGTAACTTGCCTAAAGCCTGCTCAGGATTCACTCACGGTAAGGTGTAGAACTGAGGTCACTCAACTTACTTTTGTGCTTTAACCACTAGACAGCTCTGCTTTCCTTTAGGGGGTGTCATTCTAGTGGCTACTGTTAGGGTTTGGTTCTTGGCAACAGTCTCTTGCATGTATGCTAGAGATGACAGCATGGGCAGCTCCTTACCTCACCTAACAGTGCTTCCTGTGGCTTATCAGGAAACATGACACACCTTCCAGTACTTGGGACCCAGGACCTAGGACCTAGACATGGGCAGGAGGTTAAAGTGGAGGAAAATGGAGTTGAGGTGGGTCCTTGTGTGGTACCAATGTATTGCAGCCTTCTTAGAGCTTTCTGCAGTAACTTAAAGGGTGTGGGTGAAGATATCTTATGCTTCTCACACTCTTGGACATTTTTAAACAAAACAATCCTTCACATTCAACGTGTTCTGCATGCCATTAGCTTTGTTTTGTTTATCACAGGATATTACTATGCTAGATCTGTTAAAGCATGATGCGAGGAGAGACTAGTCCCTCATTTAACATGTCTTTCTCCTGCAAAGATATGTCTGCCACTCTGGTGTAGGTGGTTAGGCCCTCTGTGACATTATAACTAGCAAGTACTAGTAGACTCTGAGTGCTTGGGAATTATTAAGATGCAGTATAGGGTACCTGACAAAGAGTTACAAGTAAGCCTGCTGTACTTGCTGTTCATTTAAAAAGTTTGGGAAAGCATCAATAGCTTAGGAATTAAAGGCATTATCTAGCACAGTTCTTAAGGCATCAACAGCTTAAAGTTAAGAATATCCACTTCCTCTCTTTTCCCTTTTTGCTGTATACACATCTATCCATTGGAGCAAATTGTATTCATGGGAAGTCTGCTACCCCGTGATGTTGGAGGAGCAGCAGACTGACTACTCAGGCAGGTCTCCTTGGGTGCTCTTGCTTTAGCACAAGTCACTGTTACCCATTTTTCACCTGTCCTTCCATTCATGACTGCATAACAATCCTGTGGCAGCTATAACAATATCTTACAGAGAAAAGGAGAATTAGGAAAGTGGGTTTTATATTGACTTATTTTACTCTGGTTCTGAGAGTAGAAGCAAGAATCAGCATTATGTGACTACCTAGCTTTCTCAGACCTACCAAAATCCATGGTCCCCATTTTAGGAACTTCTGGAATAAGTTGATCAAACTTTCACACAAATGGATGACTCCTAGACTGTATCTGTTTTTTCTGTGTTTCAGTTCCACGTGGCTGACTGTTTGATGGTACAGGCTGGTCACATCGTTGCTTATTTCTGAAGAAAATGAAACAGGAACAGAATTATCACTTATTTCTAGATGGTGATGTTTCCCAGTGTAGGCCTTTGCTGCTGCTTTCTACTTATGAGGCTCAGAAAATAACAGATCTATAGAAACTTGAATGCAAGAGGGAATTTGTGTAACAGCTTCTTTAGTTCAGAGAAGGTAGAACTGAAATCTGCTGAATGTTCTGGATTTTTTTTTAAAAATCACTATTTGGTCTCCACTTTGCAGTGAAAATAGGGTTCTGTTTCTTACTATGTTTGGTTACATCATTTATGCCTAGAGAGAGGATTTTGGGCTGGGAACAGGGAAATAAAAAGCTGCCATCCTTTAGCAGTCTTCCCTTTTTAGGTTTGTATAACCTGGATGACAGCTGTTTCTTGAGTCAGAAATTTACAGTCCATCTGTTTGTTTTCACTGCAGTATACATGAGGCGTCGTTTCTGAATCTGATATGACAGACCCAGACGTTCTTACAGAGGTCCCGGCGGCTCTGAAGCGCCTTGCCAAGTATGTGGTGCGTGGTTTTTATGGCATTGAACATGCGTTGGCTCTGGACATTCTCATCCGCAACCCCTGTGTGAAGGAGGAGGACATGTTGGAGCTGCTCAAGTTTGATCGGAAGCAGTTACGAGCAGTCCTCAACACACTCAAGGGGGACAAGTTCATCAAATGCAGGATGAGAGTGGAGACTGCCCCCGATGGCAAGACCACCCGGCACAACTACTACTTCATCAACTACCGCCTCCTGGTCAATGTGGTGAAGTACAAGCTGGACCACATGAGGAGGCGGATTGAGACAGATGAGAGAGACTCCACCAACCGTGCCTCCTTCAAATGTCCTAGTTGCTTTAACACCTTCACAGACCTAGAGGCCAATCAGCTGTTTGATCCTATGACAGGTAAGATGCAAGTGTTGCACATTTGTGTTCTGTTTTCATGTAGGCTTCAGGATTTCAGATGTTCTTGGACTGAGTCACTTGCAGTCTTTGTCCTGTGCTATGTAGGAGCTAGGGGGCACTGTGCTTCTGCTGGTGCTCGTTTGAATGAAATACAAAACCAAGGACCTATGCAGTGCTGCTGTGAGCTGTTAGAAGCTGCCAGGTTTTGCCTCAAAGGGGGTTGTATTGTGATGATAGATGGAGCAATACTTGTATGGTTTGTACAGGCAATTAACAGTGTTTGTAAAGTCCATGTAAAGATGTTTGGGTGGCAGGCATTGGGGAAAGGGAAGCTCATTATCACAGTCAAATTCAGAGGAGACTAGAGCAGTGTGGCTGGGCAGTTTTCCACCATATCCTGGTCTTGCCTGTAAACAATGTAGCTTATTGATAATTTGCTGAGAGGAACACAAGAGTGGACCCTTGGAGAGTCTACTATTTAAGGTTTAATTTAAGAGGGACAAAGTGGGAGCTGTTTGGTTGATTATTTAAATTCTTTCATTACACTACACAACTTTTTTTTTTCTCCCGAGGAAGTAGGAAAAACATGGAAAGCAGTCAGTGTAAAAGTTAGGAGGTACGTTACTGTCAAGTATCTAACACCTGGGTAAAACAAAACAAAAAAAAAGTCAGATTCATCCAGGAATGAAAGCACATAACATTCTTCAAGCCAGTGTCAGCAGAGGACTCATCCCACTGATAGTCCGTATGAAACCAAAATTATTTCTGAATAGCAGCGTTTGTTGGGGCTGCATAAGCACCCTCACCCTCCTCTTTGAAGGACATTAATGGCCTCAATCCTCCCTCAGTTCCCACTCACCGCCCTTGGCAGTGAGATGGAACATGCTGAGTTTTCAATCTGCTACTCTCTTGTGAGTCTCAAACACATTCAAGTTCGCTTCTGTGAGGAAATCTCTCTTTGTTTCTGTGTAGCCAAACTTTAATATGAAGAAAATCAATGAGAGAGGAAAAATCAAGGGGAGATCCTCCTGTGCAGCAGGGCAAGGTTCTTTACAATAGCTGTTGTGTATGTGATAGATGGTAAGTTTGTCACATGGTGGCCCTATGTTCTTGATCATTGAGCATAGCAGCGGCCTTGTTTGCCTTGCAGAAGGACATACTTCTGATGAGCATTCAGCTGGTGTTCTTTCTCATCCTGTACCAAAAAACAATATGTAAGGTTCATATTATATCTACTGCAACAATCTTTGGAAGTAATACATGGTGATAGAGGAAAGATCTACCAGGTCAGGGTGAAGCAGGTCATTGATGCCAAGGGTCCTGGTAATAAAGCACCATACTTTGCCCATAGTTTGAATGGGCAGGAGGTATCATTTCAAAGCCAACAATACCAATTCATAGATTTCTAGGGTTGGAAGGGACCCTCTGGATCATTGAGTCTGACCCCCTGCTCTAGGAGTTAAATAACTCCAGCTAGGTGCCTGTCTAATCTTTTCTTGAACACCTCCAAGGTAAAGGAGAGCACCACCTCCTTTGGAAGCCCATTTCATATTTTGGCAACCCTCACCATAAAGAATTTTTTCCTGATATCCAGTCTAAATCTACTCTTCTTTAGTTTGCAGCCATTATTTCTAATAACCCCAAGGGGCGCCCTAGTAAACAGGGTATCCCTTATTCCCTGCTGACCCCCCATGATGAGTTTATAGACAGCCACAAGATCACCTCTCAGCCTTCTCTTATGGAGGCTGAAGAGATTCAGGTCCCTCAGTCTGTCTTCATAGGATCTTACCCGCAGGCCCTCAGCCATATAAGTAGCCAGTCTCTGAACCCTGTCAAAGTTATCCACATCCCTCTTCCAAGTTCTCCAGGACTGACGGCCCTCAGACTAGAACCCTCTTCATCAATGCCTTTGCTTTTGAACATGTTAACACAAACCCCAACAGAACAAGAGCTGGTACTTGCTTGTTGAAGTTGGCAATGTGTCAAGCAACTGACCTGCATTTGTACCTTAGTGCAAGTAGCAGATCCCTCCCACAAGGAAGACCTGAAACATCCCACCAAAGATGCGTCTTCCAAGTCCACATTGACATGGAGGTCAGGGATCAAGGCACCAACAAAAAAAGAGGCACAGAACATCATGATATCAGTCATGGGTCATGGAGTGGGCACCACATGCAGCACACATCCTGGACCAGGTGGAATGGGCGGCACAGATTCCAGAGTGACTGGAGCAGGCACCATGTGTGTGGCGTGGATCCTGGAGCAGCTGAATCATGTGCTATGGGGTCCTGGGTGTGGCACGTGGGGCTGGTCCAGAGACCCAGAGGCCAGATGATAGGGCTCCACAGGCTACATCCAGCCCATGGGCCATATTTTTGAGACCCTGCTTTAAAGGAAGTGACCTTTAAAGGAAGTTCCTAACTGACGTGGTACAGACCCTAGCTCCATGAATGGCGCGTGCACCCGGCAGCTGGGGGGCACAGCTGCACTGGCAGTGGTAAGCTGGGAGCTTCTGCAGACTCCGCCAGCACTGGCAGCGGGGGAGTGAATGGGGGGTGTGGTAAGTGCTGCAGGGCATGCACCACCACGCTCAGGTGCACGTGCACCCCCTATGTGTAGCCTCTCCCTAGCTCTAACCACCTAACCTATCCTTAGCACCACTTTTTTAGTGGGGCAGAATCATTACCAGTACAAGGTTCTGCCTCTTGCACCCTCCACAGCACCAAGTCTTTGCAAAATGTTTTGTTGTGCTAGTGGCACATCACAGATTGAGTTATTTTCGCCTAGGATATATTTCATGGTAGAGAGGGCTTTCCTGCCAGGTGATAGTGTCTTTTGGCTTCAGTCATTACCGAGTGGGGAAATCAAAACCAGCTGCGACTCATGAACTTGCTGTACATCATTTACATTATTGCCCAACTTCACCTGAGACCTGTGCAGCTTTGGTACAGGTGGCCTTTCACGTGCTTGAGGGAGGGAATTGGGTCACTTATCTATATCACCTTCAAACTCAGGGATAAAATGATCTCCTGAGGAAATGTCGGCATATAGTCACTTTGGAGCTACGTATCAGGCACTGCAGTACATTCCTGCTCCACTCCAGGGATCCAGAGTCATAGTGCTAACTGATAACACCACAGCTTGGGAAGGAGCAACAAAGGTAATTTCTGCCCTGTCTGGAAGCCATTCATCTCTGGACTATGTGAATCTGTTACTGGATTACATCACTGGCGTTACATCTTTTTATTTAGAACTTTCTAATTATGTGTGGTTCTTCAGGGACCCAATACCATGCAGCAGGGGTTGTAACTCTTTAAGAGAGCGGTGGGCTGCGAAGCCCCCACTCCCACAGTTGGTCCTCTGCTGCTCTGATTCCCTTCCTGCTCTGTGCTCCTCCTTCCACTTATTGCGTGCCACCCAAAACCATGGGGGACTGAGGGCACAGAGCAGGAGGCTTTAAGTGTCTGTGTGAATGCAGGCCCTTTAAAGCAGCTGCATTCAAGCAGCAATTTAAAATGGCTCCTTTAAATTGGTGCCCCTTCCCTTTGCCCCCTTCACTGTATCAGAGATGACTCCAGTCCAGGTCCCCTGCCCAATTCCTTTGTCTCATCCTCTTGGTATTGCTTTCTCTGCAACTCTTGAGAGGCCTGAGGAAACTGAGATGAGATGCTGGATCAAGAATCATGATAGCCCTAGTGTGGATCAGGCAGCTCTAACATTTAGGTCCATCTTTTTTCTGAGGACAATTCTGATGGCTTCATGTTGGCTTTCATGGCGTCGGTCAGCCTACACCTGGACCCAGCTTTTATATTTCATCAGCCTGGATACTGGCTGAAAAGCTGTTCAGCTGGCGTTCGGAACATTCTGCTCCAGAGCAGGAAAGCTTTGACTAGACTGCATTAGAAAACCTCTTTCACTTAGCTTTACATATGGGCATTGTGGTACCAGCTGTCTCCCTTAGCAACCTGTTCCCTGCACCACCTACCAATGAAAATTGGCTTGTATGTAGCGATTATATCAGCTTGAAATAAAGTGAGGTTCTAGTCCTTGTGGATCCCCCAGTGAATACCCCTTAAGCATCATTCTCTGAGGACAGGGTTACCTTTGGGCTTCTTATTGCATCCTTGCCTAAAGGTGCTTTACATGAACCATGTGCATCTCCTCCCTGTGTTCTTTCCCAAGCTTTGCATAACTCTTGGGGAAGCTCAACATAATATGTTTCATGTAGTGTAAGGATCCTATTGTATTACCTCTGTGGTCAGAATCATTCAGGATACAAGCAAGTTTGTTCTGATAGGGTTAAGGGTCAGGCAGATATCCATTCAGTTTCCAAGTGTATAGAAATGTGTAAGGAGCTAATCAAGTTATACAGGTTTTCCTTGCTTTATGCGTTCCTGGGAAACGGCGCATAACTCAAATTTGCATAAAGGGAATCCACTTTACAATGTAACAAATAGGGATGTGTTCCAAGACCTCAACTGTACTGACCCCCAGACCCATTTCTACCACTTTTACAAGACAATTTTGGTACTCACCAACAGCAGAGAGGCATAAGAGATGCTTAGAATCTGTAATGGGGATGGCAACTACTGCAACATGTTGCAGACAGTGAGCAAGCAGCACAGATCCACACAGGACTATATTTTGGTGCGCATAACTCCCACAATGCTCCGCACAAAGCAGCTGACTGCGGGCTTCCACCATACCGATCGCGTAAGAGTCAATTTACTTTGCATATAACCAATTTATGGTATTAAAAGGGTCATTGCATAAGAGCAAATTCACACATACCGAACCCACATAAAGAAAGGAAAACCTGTATTCATGATAAGCACATTAGAGCTCAGTTCTCTTACATAGCCTCAGACACCTGTTGAAGAATGTCCCTGTTCTGTCATTCTGTATTGTAGCTGTAAAGCACAGTCCATACTTTTACAAGACACTGTCCTTTGTGAAAGGCTTTCAGCTCAGATGCCAGTTTTGGTAGGGCAATTCTGCAG